TTTTGATGTCTCAGCCATACTGGATCAGGCTATTCTTCAATAGCCAGAACTGCCTAAATACAACTGAGTTTGCTAACCATCATCTTCTCTTCTGCTTTTCCAACTCCATCACAGCTCTCTCTTCCTGCAAATTCCTTGGCCAAATTACTTTCTCACCCCCCAAACAAGAGCTCTCTATCTATATATGTGGAGAAAAAACTCTTTGGATCAGATAACACATCATCATTTATTCTTCTTACCTTCCAAGTTGCTATCTTCCATATGCTGTGGCCATTACCAGAAGGACCTATAGATATTGACCTCTGCTGCCTTGCATGGCTTTTGTCAATTGAAGCTTGTACATAACACTTTTGCACATCTTCTCTAAAAGGTGTAGCTTAGGCTACCAGTCTCAGTTATACCTCTCCATGTGCAATATTCTCTAATGGTAACAATAGTAGTTGTGTCTTTGGGCAGAGTTAACCATGAACCAGCATGTTGGATAAACATTGCCTTGCTAAATTTACTTAGATATAAATACCATTGTAAATCAATGAGCTTGCTGTTGAGTAAGTGTACAAAAGATGTCAATCTTTGTGTGTTGGGCAGCCAAGTAGTTTCTTTTTCATCTAGCAGTTAGTTTTCACTGCATATTGGATTACCTTCTTGTTACTTCTAGGCTGAACCTCTTGGCCTCTAAGTTTTTCAGCTTAGCTAGGCCAAACGTTATGGGGCATGAGGCTAAACTAGGTGTCAGCCAAGATTTACATTCTATGATTCTATGAAATGCAAAATATTTGAGGAACCACAGAATAGAAAAAATGGAAGTCAGATGCTTCTTACAGTCCCAGTTGGCAACAGCCTACTAATTTGTAAGTTTTCCCATTTCAAAACATCTCCTTATCTTCAACTATTTCTTTCACTTCCTAATCCTCTTCAAGCTTGTATATCAAAAGCAGCCTTCCTCAAAAGCATCTCCAGATAGGTTGGGTTGTAATTTACAGAATTGTCAGTTAGCATAAGCCATCCTATTTTGTTAGAAGTTACAAATGGTTGTTCTTGAACTACTGAGAATTCCTCAGAATTCTTCTAGAACATGGGTATTAAACTGCTGGCCCATGCGGAAGCCACGCCCACCCCAACTCCGGCAATGAGAAAAAGGTCACGATACGTCGCGACACGTCACATGACGTGGCAAGTTTAACACCTGTGCTCTAGAATAATCTTTCCCAGACAACGGCCTTCAAAATATATTGACTTACATCTTTCATCATCCCAGACATTATGGCTAATTAGTGCAGATCACTTGATTCAAGAAAGCTGATCCTAGCAAATCTTCACTAATACTAATATAAGATTCACTGCCTGAATGTGTGTTAAAATGAAAACAAAATGCCAAATTCTGCCTCTGCCACCTAAAGAACTGGAAAGTTGGTTCATTCTTTGTTTAGATGTGCCCACTGGGCAATGCCATGGTTTGTTATTTTTCTTGAATAAACCAAAATTAGTGGAGTTCACATAATATTCTAAACCAAAACAAACAAAACACAGATTATCTTCATCTATAGGCAATCCACTCATATGTAGCAAGAGAAATCAAGTCTCCAATTTATTTAATGGTAAGTAAATAGGGGCCATAAATTTATTTTTCCAGTGTTGCAACATCAGTCATTTAGCTATAGTAAGGGCACAGAGAATATATTTTCGTTGTCTAGTTGTCCAAAAATTAAGTTCCAAAAATTAAATACATAATGGAAAAGATTATCCTCTGAAAATTTTAGCTTTTGTTGCAGTGATATTTATATAGTCCACTACTTTCCCCTAACACTAAATGAAGACATTGTAAAAACATATACTTTAAGGAGGATGTCCTTCCTACTGTGGGAAGGATTACATCTCCAACAAAGCACTGTCCTTAACAAACTTTTCTATATAGAGTCCAATAAATTCCATTCATCTCTTAACTTTTCCAATTTAGTATAGGAAAAAAGATTGTATCTATGTTTATTAGACATTCCATTCCATAGCTTTCTAACAGATACAATTATTTCCAGAGATACCAGGGTTCTATTGTATTTGGATCCTAATTTTGTCCATCCAACCAAAGATGCTATATATGTAATATATAATATATGAGATGCCCAAATCAGAAAATCAAAATCAATTATTCGCTTTGTAAGGCTAAGTTTAATCAAATATGGGACTCATTTATACAAAATACAGTAGGTTAAAAAAATAGTGTACATGTGTATTAGAAATGAATGTGTGTGTATGTATGTAAAATATATATTTGTGTGTTTATGTATGTTTGCATTAGATAATTATATAGAGTTATAGCTGTTTACTGGAACGTATACTTTATATTTTTTGTTGTATTTTTTCATTTATTTTAAACACTTAATTTAAATTTTTATTATGTATTTTGTATCTTTGGGTTTTTTATTATTTTAAAAAGCAATAAAAATATTTTTAAAATACAGAAGGTCCTAGCATGATGTATGAACCTGGTCTTTAAGGAATCAGTGTTGCTTCTACTACAAAAGGCTGCATGATCTGATAATATAAAACAAACTATCTGGATACAAACACAATTGCTGCATATAATGTGAATAAATTATTTCCATACTATTAAATTTGTAACTAAAGCAGACTGAGATTCAAAGAATTAAGTTCCTCAGTTACTCTCACAACTTAAAACAGAGATTATTAACTTATTCAAGTTTTTAAAGCTATAGCACTTAGAAGCTATACTGTCAAGCAATCTGGGTCACGGCTTTTAATAATCAAAGGTTTTCTCCATTTATATTTTAAAACTTCTTTCGACTCCATTTTGTCTCCTGCAGAATCCATTAAGGAAAGTCTTCTTAAACCACATGTTTCTCTTGGCCAATTAAGAGAGGCTGTTACAATCCAAGGAACAAAGAAAACCAAGCCTCACCTTATAAATAGTGATTGTCGATCTGTAGGATTGCTCCATCCTCAAATATTTTAAGACCCAAGAATCCCTTCTCCAGGAACGGAGATGTTTAAGAAGATATGCAGTCCTAAAGAATACTTATGAATCCAGCTCTCCGATTGCAGCTGAAAGACAGTTTTCCACAAGTGTGGGGCACAACGAAGATGCTGGCTTGCTTTGAAAAAGAAGAACACACTGCCAGAGAGTTTAATAATTAATTCTCATGTCGTGCTGTTGGAACTTGATCTTTAGGTGTAATCAGATATCAGGTAAGGCGGAATCTTATGACAGCTATGGAGGTCATATGATCTTCACCCTTAATTATGTATTGCAGTTTCCATATATAGTTCTTTGCGGAGCATTGTTCCATCAAACTATCTTGACTGAAATAATTATGATGAAGTTGAGCACTTTGAACAACTTATCTCCGGTTTGACTTCTGCCTAACCAGGTAATACACATACAGGCTGTAGCATTTTTCTGCTGCATCTTCATGACATGTTCTTTATTTCATCTTCAGTCCATGAGTGGAACAAGCTTGTTGCCCTTAATTGTTCCAGTGCTAAGTAATGTTTTCACTTATATTCTAATACCATCACTTAGGTGGCCATAGGTAGAAATATAAAGTTGGATATCATCAGCATACTGATGATATCTCACTCCATGGCTTCATGTAGATGTTAAACAGGAGTGAAAAGAGAGCCAAGCTCTGTGAAACTCCACAAACAGGGGCCATGTTTAGACTTTTCCCCCATCGATACTGACTGGAACCAGCCCCAAAGGAAGAGAACCAGCATAACATTATCTGCTTACTCCCAATCTCCAAAGAGACAATCCAGCAGGATACATTCATGAGATCAAAAGCCACTGAGTAGTCAAGAAAAGCAGAGATGGGAGCACAAACACCATCCCACTTCCATCAAATGTAATCAATGCCATTTTACCCAGGCTATAACCTCTACTGAAAGAAGACCAGATAATCCAGTTTCTCCAAGGTTTCTCGAGCTGCCATACGACCACCATCTTTCCAGCCTTCCTTATAAAGGGAAGGTTGGATACTAGTTGAAAATTGTTCAATATGGTTGGGTCCAGTGAGAGGTAAACAAACTATCACCTCTTTAAGGGACAGAGGAATCACCCCTCTCAAAGAATTCATCATCATCAGAACCTAGCCATACGTCACCTCCCAGGACATTTTAGCCAACTGACAGAGACATGGATTTAAAATACAGGTACCTGAGTTTGTAACCCCAAGAACCCTTGTCCTTGTCATTAGGACCGAAAGGATCAAACTCCTCCCAGATAACCAAGCCAGACTGAGCCTTGATCACCTCCATAGGACCTACAAGAGTTCAATTTGGAATGAATCTAAGTGACTTTACCTGATAGGTGCCTAGTGTATCCCCCACAGCAATTTTCCAAGTAAACCTCTGAGTCAGAAGGGCCAAATTTACATTAACCAAAGCCACAAAGTGGCTATCCACAGACATATTCCAAACAACCATAGAACCCACTTATAAAGGCCCACCACTATTAATTATTGAGTACTGATTGCCAGTGAAGTAAGGCAGCCTTTCATAAAATTGCTCCCCATCTGCACAAACATACAGCAACTGAAGGAAAAACCTTACTAAGGGGAAGGCCTAATTAGGCACAATTGGGTTGGCATTAGGTTTAGCAGATTTAATTAATGCAGCTAGATTGAGATTTTTACAGGAAGAGCATGCCACATTTGGCACAAAAGGGAACTATTTTATCCAATGACCAAGGAGAAAAAAATCAAGGATTTCTCTCTTTTAGATAAATACCATGCCTAGCCTAGTCATATAAAACATAGTGTCACATGTTACTTAGTCCCCTCTTCAGTTCCCATGTCATCAACGCATGATCAGTATTACTTCCAAATGAAAAGCAAGAACAACATATGCTTCTTTCTGTTTTAGTGATCTAAATAAAGCCCTGCTTTAATATTATGTAATATTAGCATAGCTACAGTGGCATGCAATTTTGTTAGATGTTAAATTCGTTCAAAATGGAAGAGGATCAACATCTTTAGCCCCTCTTGACTCTGACTCAGTCATGATCACACCTGGTAGGGTTTAGAAATATTCAGTCATACTGCTTGTAGCTAATGTAAAAAAATGTTTAAATCTGGTACTAAATGTTCCTTTCCAAAAGGCATCTTATTAAAAAATGTGGGGTCTTCTTTATTAATTTGGGCAGTGAAAGAATAAAATACATCTTGAGGTCTGTCAATTTTGTACTCAAGGTGGCAGACAGGGAGAGCTGCACACTTTAAAAAACGGAAACAAGAAGCGAAGCCATTATTTTACACATTACGTTGTACATAGCAAATCTATGTGTGTTTACTCTGTAGTAAGTTTTACTGAGTTGAATGGCTTGTATTCCCGGATTCATATGGACTGGTGATGCTATGCTTTGGATGGATCACTTCATCCAGCTTATTCTAGGTAAGATCAGCTAGAAATTTAGGAAAGGCAACATTAAGCAGTTTTTGCCTTCTGTTTGCAAAAAAAAAATAAATCAATAAAGTCTTTGTACTCCATTGCAAGCATAAGGAAACCCATCCATAGTTACTGTATAGTTCAGTGATGGCAAACCTTTTAGAGACCGAGTGCCCAAACTGCAACCCAAAACCCACTTATGCATCGTCGGGTGCTGAGTGGGTGTGGCCCATTGGGTGGGTGTGACCCATTGGGTGGGCGTGGCTGCAGTGGTAACGGCAGACTGGGTGGGACTAAAAAGTTCAATCAATCAATTCCAACTTTGCAAGATCTTTTTTTTCCCCCGCAAGAAGTTGAAATTGACTGATTGATTCAATCTTTTTTTTTTTTTGCACACGGCAGAGGCCTAAAGTGAAAAGGTTTTATAAAACCCAGCTGAAGGCCTAGGACTGGGGCGACGGCGCACGTGCCCACAGAGAGGGCTCTGAGTGCCGCCTCTGGCACCCGTGCCATAGGTTCGCCACCACTGGTATAGTTGGTTTCATTGAGTTCAAGGCTCCTTACCTCCTTTCAGGTACCATATTAATCAAACTGCCCTAATTTCCTTCCCAAATGTGGTTTCAGTGGATAGAGAAGCTTTGCCTTTACCCATGGAAGGGAATAGGAAGGCACATCAGTGACAGCTTTGTTCACTTTCAGCTACTTACTTTTGTGATTTGGACCTCCCACCCTCAATTTATTTACTTTCACCATCACCTCTTTTTATCATTCACTCACTGAATGCAAAAATGATACACATGCATCCATCCACTCACAGGGATTTATTTGGAGAAACCCCCCTCATCTTTCTTTAGGTTAAAAACAGCAATTCTCACACCACAAAATATTTAAAAATTCACTTACGTCATACAGAGTAGCCTTTCTCTGTCAGGTGACTTCCAGATATTGGCTAAGAATTCCCTAAAGTTGATCTTATGCAGTTTGAATTGCCAGTTTTTAAGAGTTTTTTTTTTTTTTAATAAGGTGCTCAATTTGCAATAAAATCAAGCAAAAATGCATCTGGACATTGGAGATTGCAATTTGTATTAGGACATCTTAAATGAAAAGAGTTAAGACAAAGAATGATCAGATTTCAGAAAATAGTGTTTTTATTTAATACTTGCTTTTGGGGGAAAAAGGACTTTTTAACGTCAACATAATTTTCATCTGAATTTGAAATAGCTTATGAAAATAATGGGAGAGTGAGGTATTTCCTGTTAGTTTCACCTCATCAGTTTTTCAACAATTCCAATGCATCCTATTAAGTCAGTTAAATCTTAGAAAAACAGTGCATTTTTGTTAAACAGTAGTACCTTAAATTTTTGGCCTAAACAAAACAGCAAATACAGCATTCATAAGTAGAAAAATTAATGCAATAAGGAAGAAAGAGTATGAGAAAACAGAAAAACCAACCATAAAAACATGGGCCCAAGTATTGACTTTGTCAATCAAATGTCTCCTCATTTGATCGGTGCCCATTCCTACATTTTTCATCCTTATTCAGAAATGTCTTTGTTTGAGAAGACTATTGTCCAAGCCTGCCCCCTGTAAGGAAGCCTGTCCTCCATTCCTCCAGGACTCTTTAGTGCCACTCATAGCAAAGTGACTTCTTTGGGGGTGGGAAGATTCAGAAAAAAGGAGTCTGAAGTAAGGGAACAAGTATTTAGGAAGGTTTTTGGTCTAGAATGAGCAAAGGAGTTTGCCTAGTACCAATAATGTTGAAAGGGAATGGTAGGTTTTCTCATGTGTAAAAAAAAAATCTCCACCTTCCATATAACAAAAAACTCAGGACATGACTTGTAAATAGGAAAAAAAAGAGCAATTTCAATTGTTCAAGTCCTCATGTACAACCTTAGATACAAAGGTATAAGTAATTAGTTCACAGCACACAACTAATCTTAGACTGCAGGCAGAAATGATCCAACTCTGATCAACAAACAAAGTGAAATGACCTAAACCTTTAAGATTACTGGTGTAGCAGCACATTGAGGTGGGGTGGGAGACAGTCACAGGATACAGAACAGCTGAAGGATGTTTTGATGGGAGCAATCCTTATATTTTTCTACTTGATTTTTCTGGTATGAAGACAAGGGGCAAGCCACTGGCCAGCAGAATCTGCTACTTCTCATTGATAATCCAAGCTGCAGCTCAAGGCAGGCATTATTTGTACCAAAAATCTTCACAAAGCTTTATTTAATTAGGAGCTGCTCTACCAACTGCTCGAATTTATCCCAATGTTGATAAATGTAGATCTGAGTCTCCCAGAGCATGTTTACCAGGATTGTATTGCTCACTTCATCCAGCATTATGTCTGTCTCCAAAGAGGGATTGAATCTGTGGGCATCAGGAAGATGTTAACAAGAACAGCAGTTTTGTGCATATGCTGCAACTGAAGGTAAGAATGTAGGGCAAAGAAGTGTTCAACAGAGAGCACAACAGAGAAAACAAAATACAAGGGGAACAATGTGGTACAACAGGAGCATCATAGGACCTTCACTTTTAGATTCCAAAAGCTCC